AAAAGCTGTCTTACCTAAGACAGTCCTTGCTCTTGGCACATCTAACAAGAATATCATGCGATCTCAGACAATAGCTGCTTGCAACTCTCTGTGTTATCAGAGAGCAGATGTAATACGGGAGTTTACCCAACAAAGCTTTATAAATAAACGTGTACCAATGACTGAGTACAGTAATGGCGCATTTCCACTGCAGCGGGGTAGCCCCGTTTAAGCGTCCCTAAGCGTCCTCGCTCAGGCCTCGGGCTGCCTCGCTGGCCGTCCGAGGCCGTGGCGCATTTCCATTACAGTTTAGGACCTGGGGTAGCAACGCAGTGTAGGCGGGGCGATCGGCTTTGTTTTTGTTCACATTTCGAGTTGTTCCGTCGAGCTCCCGCTGGATTTGATCATCCCCAATGAGATGTAGGAACGTCGTCACCTCCTCGGTCGACCACGGTGTGCTTTTCTTATTAGACGTAGCCATTTTTGTAGCTCATCCGTTTACAAAATGCTGTTTATAAAAATGCTGCAAGCTTGCTTCTAAATATATATACGACGCTAGGGATGAACTCGCGCGCGATCTTGTGACGATTCTCTCTGACCAATCAGCAGTCGAGAGTGTTGACGTCACTAGTTCAGCCCTGGCCCTGGCCTGATAGAACCACGATTTTATGGGGCCGGAAAAAGTACCCGCTAGCCGGTACTAGGCTATATGGAAAGGCCACCAAAAACTGGCCTGGCCGCTTGAGGACGGTTAAGGACGCTTAAACGGGGCTACCCGCTGCAGTGGAAATGCGCCATAAGTGATGGCAAACCTGCCTTGGCATACAGGGTACAGTGATGAGTAAGTGCTTTACAATTAGTGACAAATCTCAGCGCACTGAGGATAGGATAGTTTTCCATTTGTACTCCCTGAAGAATCTGGATATAACTTTGAGTGATGTCCTTGTTCAGTTCCTCTCTGATGCAGAATTTGATTGTTTTCTCCCCTTATTTGCAGCTCACAGGTGTGGCTCCTTTAGCAACTCACATTCCTGATCGGGGAAGGAATATTTTTAAATGTTTTAGCTTTAGGTGCTAAAATGAAATAAAATCAACAAAAACAAAAGAAACATATGCCCTTGTTGGTGCCCAATCCCACCTTGATGTCGTAATTAAAAGTGATGTTATACTGTACTTTATTATATTGAGTATTTAAGGTGCTCCGAATGTTAGAACCACCTACTATACTGCAGATCAACGGACATCTCCTTATGTTTAAAGGTAATACAAACCAAAGGCTTCTATACATCGTCCGGTACTTGTATTAACAGTTTGTTTCTTTAAAACCACCACTGCAGCAAACCATGGCTGATGACTGGTTAGTGTTGAAGGCTAGAAACGCATAATTGATTAAAATAAGTCATTCAATTCATGCAGGGCTGGAGTCACGTTGCCATTTGGGCGCTTCATTATGTTCACTTTGTTTGGCCAATTTGTTTTTTAAAAGGCATATTACCTTGACTGGGGAATGATGAACACATATTTTAATGAGAGTCATGCAGGACAAAACTAGCCAGTGCACAGCCGGCCGAAAACTGTAGAGTTGTTTTCAGACAAGCTTTTCAACATGTAAAAAATAACGTTTCTTGGTCTAGGGTTAGGGTTTAAATGGAACTTATATAAATAAGATTTTCTGTATAGTAGAACATTGCATTGAGTTATTTTCAGAAAACTTTTAAGTTATTTCTAAATGATTGGAAACGTTGCTTTAACAAACACATGGCATTTTTCAGTTGAGACAAAGTCGTCTATAAAGAATATTTAACATTATCCTCAATTGCCAAGCAGCATATGGTATTATTTGTATGACCAAATCAATATCTAGTCTCTAAAGATGGAGAAACTGCGAGCCAGATGTCAGGAGGTGGGGAAACACATTGATAGTAATGAGCAGAGTGTGGTTTCAAGTATAATTTAAAGTGGTGAGGAAACATGCACAAGCCTGTCACATATGCACATAATATGTGTTTTCACATCATTATTTAATCATGAGAAAGGTGTAGATTTATAAGTCATCTGCACGGGGCTGCAGCAGTCTGTCAAGGGAAGCATCTGGAGGATAAGAACTGTCCCTGCAGTGGGACTGTTGACTCAAAAATGGATTTACACACATTCCAACACACCTATGACATTCCTGCAAAGTCATACACACACCCTGGAACACACTTCACACAGAGAGTGAAGCAGGAGCCAAATTGCTCCGCTTGGTTCAGCTTTAATTGGAGGAAGAATCAGGTGGCTGTAAGTGTCGCTGGTAAAAAAGCGCTGCCCCAGCGGATACTAAATATAATTAATACTTCATCACACAGCCTTGAAACGAGCCGCGTTACTCGAGCTAAAGAACCTTGGAGCACTGCTTTAAAGGAAGAGGAAGTCACTAACACAGGTGGAGGAGAGGAATGGAAGTTTGTCAGACCCCAAAAGCTAGCTTTGTCTTTAATATGTTGAGTAGAAGTGGGAGCGTTAATGGTGGATAGCCACTTCTCCTTTCTCCTCACATCGCTCTGTCTCGCTGCCCTTCTCATCTCGCTCCTCTGTTTACGTGGTAGAGAAAGATGGAGGGGAGAAAATGATGCTCAGTGGGACACTTGGAGGAAATGATCTGAAATTGAAATGAGGACGACCCACCAACCACCTTATCCCTCTTTAAATGGACTTTTCTATCTTTCTTTCTCAATGACACACACACAAATGCATACACACGCAGGAAGTCATGAATTTACTTTGAAACCTGAGACTCGGACTCCAGTTAGTTCAACATATGTGCCTCTGTACCCTCTGTGTTATCTTGAAATGTAGAAAGTTTTGATTGGATTTGCTGAGATTTGCCACTGGAACTTCTACTACTGTCCTAAAAAATAGGAAAAGGAATGTATTTTGGGCCACTAAAAGCATCAAAGAAATACATATGGTCAGTGGCGGCGCAAGGGTATGGCTGAGGTAGGCGACAGCCATACCAAGAAATGGCTTAGCCCCACCATGAAAAATGATGTTAAAGTAAGCAAAATAAAGTCCGCCAACTCGCGCCGAGTAAATTGCACAGACAGCAGTTAGTAAGATTGATTTCAGTAGCCACTTGTCTGGAAATACCGAAGACCAGAAATGGTTTTGAAAACTTGTGTCACGTAGTGATCGTCTTCTCAATAGAACATCTTTGATAATGTCTTCTGGCCAATCAGAATCAAGATAACGACGTGGTGTTGTTGAAGGAAGTCCCGATGGAGAATACTTTTGCTGTAGTACATCTCTATCGATACATAAGACCCCACGGTTTGATGATTGATAGGTGTGTGGGCTGTCTTTCATTTTGACACACAGAACAATGGGAGCTAATGGGGTTGGGTTTTCAGCATGTCAACTCTTTCACCTGTGGGGAAATTGCAGGATTGGCTCCAGGTCGCCCTTTTTATTTACTACAAGACAAATGTGCCTTTTTATTTCATACAGTTCCATTTGGATTGAGACAGGGAAATAATCTAAACCTCACGCGTGGCGTTTCACTGTCAAGGGGAGCGTGTATGTAATTACATTGCAAATACTGACTTGAGCCCCACCACTGTATGGGCTAGCCCTACCATAGATTACCCAACAAAAATACTCTGGAGCCGCCACTGATTATGGTGCATCTTTCTGCTCAAAGAGCAGTTGTAGTGATGATGTAGTGTAGTGATGGCAGTTGTAGTTTGGAAGAAAATGGTTCCAGTTCTTGGTTAATTTTATGGTACCAGTTGCAGTCTTTTTTAAACTACGAGCGGTGCTTTTGATCTGATTTGTTACGGTTCTCAGCAAACTCTGCAACCGTAGTTTATGCTTTCTTCCCCAGTGTGTTCTTGTGTAGCTGTGTCACTGCTAGGCCATGCACTTTTATGCAACCTCTATTCAACCAGATAAAAAAACACAATTGGGATAACATCTCTTTCCTATTGTGATCTGGCCAAGGGCATCAACAGCAGAGGGCAAATATGCACATATTGCATATAACACATAGAGACAAAAAGGCATATAGACATGACACAATTGTTCTGCATTGTAGCAAGGATATTTGTAACAAAAAGCTTTAGTTTGAAACTGGCCAGAGAGATAAGAGAACTTAGTTTAAGTCTTTCCTGCAGGTCATTCCAAGAATAAGGGCAATAATAAAACAGACCCCTTTCTCCAGTCACGATTTCAGCAATCTTGGCCAAGAGTGGCTTTGTACAATAGCATACGATAAGCCAAAATTGGTTAGTTGGAGTGCTAGACCATAGAAGCGCCAGTATCACATACTGATGTCATTGTGTTACGCAAGTAAGCAAAAGAGTCCAATGGAGGAGTTTGGGATTTTAGCCTTTCAAGACTATTTATATGCACAAAAACCTACATAACACACTACAGGAGAGGAAAAACCCCCAAAGCATAATATAACCTCTTTAAACTCATAGTTATGAAATGACTGAAAAGTACCAAAAACATGTTTAGTTTTGCATGGGTTTCTTAGTTGTCTCTGTAATAGAAATGTGTCTGCAAGATTGATGTTAGCAAATGGTTAAAGGTGGAAAGAAAAGAGAGGCTTGCACCTTTTGATGATTGATGATGCCGTGTTAGAGAAAACATGCTCAACACATAGTTACATGTATGAAGGAAGCGAGATGGTAAAATTCCCGATGGATCTGCGTCAATGCCAGGTAACTAAGTGTTCAGGGAATTACCTTCTGAACAAAAGCAACATGATAAATGAATCAAAGGCGTGTAGCCGTCAATTTCAAGGTGTTGACCAGTGCTTCATGGTAATGTCAAGCCCTGACATTATGTGTGCATTCCAATGAGACTCTTTAAGTTAATGATGGTCAAGATTATTCCAATTAAACTAACAAAACAGTCGTAAAATGTGGCAATTATGATTGAAATGGGGCCTAAAAAACATGAATATTATTTACAGACCAGACTTCTGAAGTCAAAGTCAAGTAACTTAACTAATAAATGTCCCCTTTTTCCAATTGTAGATCTTCCAAGGCCTCCTCTGTGTTTTCTACAACCTCGGTGACGGGGACTACAACCTAACCCTACCAACTTATCGCCTCGACAACGGTGAATGGCACGAGGTCTTCCTAGATCGGCATGACAATGAGATGATGCTGCGTCTGGACGGAGGGGGAGGACAGCGGGAGGTCACAGGGGCGCAGGGCAGGAGCAGAGAAATCATCATTGACCCCACCGTGGTGATGCTGGGAAACACCTTCCTCTCTGGAACCAACAAGAGCTTCCAGGGTAGGTTTTAACAGAACACCTGTATATCTGTGAGAGTTTATCAAAAGTAGGTTTACAGACTTTCCATGAAATGTCCAGTTTGTTTACCTCACATTGGTGGAAAGTTTGACTCAAAATAAAACGTTAATTAACTGTATTATGTAAAACAACAGAACAATTTGACCTTAGAAAAGAAGAAACCAAGATATTTAGGATCAAAATATGTATTCAGGCAGTAGGCGTATCAGCCTACAGAACAACACTGTTTATAGGTAAAGCCCCTGTCACACTGTCCCGAAATTGACACCCGATAGACACACGAATATTGAATTGTGAATTTCGCACGAAGATGGCCCCGAACCACACACGAAGGCAACATTTACATTACATTTAAGACATACAACTGCAACGAAAGTAACACAAACAATTATGTTAAAGTACTATGATACTGTACTGATATTTTCAGACTTTCCATAGCAACAACAACTTCCTGTCAACTCTCCTTCAAAATAATATATTATATCCTTTTCAGTTTCACAGAACACAAATTGGGTTATTTACATAATATGTTTACATGATTTTGTTGTGCAATAAAACAACCCGATGGACACACGATAAAGGAAATGTTCAAATTCGGCTGTGATCGTAGCAACATCGGGCCATTCGTGAGGGCATCTTAAGCCTTCGTATGACCGCCGGTGGAGTTTCTCAGGCTCCGGCAGCAACTTCGTGAGCGGTGGCAAAATCGTTGGCATGCCAAAAAATTGCCGAAGGACCTTGCGAAGGTTCATTTTCGTGTTGAATTCGTTTGTCAATTTTGCCCTTCGTAAGGCCATCGTTAGGGCATCTTGTTATCATCGGTGCCATCGGGCATTCGCCCCGATCAGAGTGAGGGCGAATGCACCGATGACAACACGAAGATGACACGACTTGACAAGATGCCCTCACGAGTGCCTTACGAAGTTGCCGCTCACGAAGTTGCTGCCGGAGCCTGAGAAACTCCACCGGCGGTCATACGATGGCTTAAGATGCCCTCACGAATGGCCCGATGTTGCTACGATCACAGCCGAATTTGAACATTTCCTTTATCGTGTGTCCATCGGGTGTCAATTTCGGGACAGTGTGACAGGGGCTTTAGGGATAATGTGCAGCGAGGCGGACATTATGGGTAAAAGAACATCCGACAGGCTGATCAGGAGCCCAACGCTTATTACATGGCCACATTCTGCAGGACCTCTGCAGGTCTCCCTTGAAAAAGAGATCATTGATCTCAATGGGATTTTACCTGGATAAATAAAGGTTTTGAATTGAATTGATTCTCAACAAAGTAACGACATGACTCCCAATATTAATTTAAATGTTTTGTATTGATTTAAAAAATAGTTTTATTGATTTAAAATGACATGCATCCGCTAAGAAAAATAGTCCGTTGTTACCGTTTGAACTACGTAGCAACGGCAGGAACTGCTTCGATAGCGTTTTGCTTTTTGATTACAGATTTGAAAACATCGCTGCTTGCTTTAAAAGTAGCACAATTCATGATGTCAAACCTTGGAAAGTATCTAGATATCCCTGCCCTAATGCCAAAGTAACTGGCAACTGAATATGTGTTACCGTTTGATGTCTGGACCGTTGAGTAAAAAGGACCGCAGCTCCGTGTTGAGGGTTTCTGCCCCATTACTTCTCCGCTGTTTTCTTCTCCCTCTTTTCTTTTTCTTTTCTTCGCTGGGGACTCATCAGCCACTAACCATTCATCCAAATTACTGTGCTCTCCAAATATATTAAAATGAATATTAAAATCCTCCATGTTGCTCTCAGACGGTAGACAACGGAAAACTAAAGACAAGCAAACAGTGTATAGAGTTAAATCGACCGGACTTCTTTCTGCAGATGTGAGCGTCCTTAACAACGGTCAATAAATCCTTGACAGCGGTCTGTACTACTGGATTAACAAAGTGTCACGTGTTCTGAATTAACCAATCAGAATTGAGTGTTCAACTAAGCCATGTAATAAAGAAGAGAAAAGATCTGATCCTTTTACAACAAACACTAAATGCCATTTTTAATCCATTATATCCCAAGCCTGGAATTAAATGAATTCCAAATATGTCAGCAAAGTACATTTTATTCTGCATTCACACTTTGGAAATGTCAAAGTATGTCTGCATGGAGGCAACTGGAGGCTGAAGGACAACTTGGTGAATGGACAAAAGGTACAAATATAAAAAATGTGCTTTAACGACCCATGACACAAAATAGTGTCAATACCAGGAATCAATTGCCCAGGTGCTGACATTTCTAACAAAACATCCTTAATGTGGCTCAGGAGGTAGAGTGGTCGTCTACTAATCAGAAGGTCGGGCGTTCTATCCCCTAAGTCTCGTTGGGCAACATTCTGAACCCAGAAATGCTCCTAATGGCCGCCATCAGTGTTCAAATGTGTCTGAAAGTGTTTATCGCTCCTGATGGTAGCCTCTGCAACCATGTGTGTGAATATGTGTGTGAATGGGTGACGGTTGGCTGATCATTGTTGATTGTTAGGTAAGAAACACACTATATCAATGCAGTCTATTTACTATCTATGACCTGGTTTCTGTTAAATATGCCCAGATATTTGGATCAACGGCCCTATACTTTATTTTACACACACTAAAACAATTCCTCTTGAATCAGCTTCACTTAAAACTAAACTGCAGTGCACCAATGGCCCAATATGTATAGTTCATTGATTGTTCTCCCCTCTGTTTAAGTGGCTGCTGTTTGCTATTATTTCTTCTCTTCACCAAGGATATTCACAGTTCAAAACAGTGTATAAAAACTGACAGGCTCTTTCACGAAAAATAGATTGAGGTTGCTAATATCATCATAAATTCTACATCACTTGCAACTGTGATTGTCTGCGCAACGCTATCAGCCTTCACCATTTCTCAAGGTCAGATTCACAAAAAGATATAGCCATAATGATATTACAGCAAAACACGGCCATAAATATTCAAAAATATCATTTTGCCTTTGCATCAGGAACACAGTAGGCAGAGCGATGTCAAAATCAAGATTTTCAGTGTGCGAGCTGAAAAGGCATTTCTCAGAAACTTAAGACAAGGAATTAAACGTGACAGAGAGAAACCATATTCGTCATTTCATATCCTATTCTAGTGTTTCCGTGCTCTACAACTCTCTGAAGATGCTAATTATTCCACTGTTACAGCATGTGAGTATTAGGCTTTTCTTTGTGAACTGGGCTGTTTTTGCAATGAGGCTCATTTGCATGGAAGGGGCCAATGTTTGCGCCAAAATATGGATATGACCTCATTTGTAAATATGTGCAAATAGCACAGGAGCATGGGGACGCCATTTGCCTGGCAGCGCAGGTACGGTTACATTTACCTTTTTGGGTGCATTTTGATACTTACATGGATTTATTTTTGTCTGGTCCAGGTTCTTTTGTTGAGCCAGAGTGTTTCAGCCATGCAGTATTGTAAAATAACACCTTCTACAAGCACAGGCAAAGGAAAGGAAGGTGACAAGCTTAAGAGGGTATGATAAACAGCAGAAATGAAAAATAGCTGATTTGTAGTTGCATTAAAGTTATTCAGACACCCATACAGTATGAACCACAGCAGTTGGACATGATTGATAGTGTATCATGTACAGGAAGGCCCAAATGTATACCCAGTATTTCCCATACATTGATTTATTTGTGGCGGGCCGCCACAATTAAATATCGTCCGCCACAAATGGATCTCATAATTTTTTTTTAAATGATTATTATTATTATTATTATTTTTATTTATTTGTTGTGGTCTAATGGATAGTGAGGTGGGCTGATGATCGGAAGGTTGTGAGTTCAAATCCCGCCTGGAACACCACTACTACTCTGCCCTTGAGTAAGGCACTTAGCCCTCAGCTACTCCAGGGAGAATGTCCCTGTAATTGGTCATTGTAAGTCGCTTTGGAATAAGGCATCTGCTAAATGCCTAAAGTGTAAATTGTAAATTATATTTTTGGGAGAATAAACCCCACAGATCCTCAACTCCGGTGTGTTTCACTCATTACCAATTCAACACAGAGCAACAAGAACGTTGTCTACAGTAGCCATGAACTCGCATGTATTATCTTATTTGATAACCCAAATTGGTTAAGAGGCCTATGGCTTTTCTTGCCGGGGGGGGGGGGGATGCGTTGCGGTGCCCCCACAAATAGAATCAAATTCTGTGGGAAACACTGATACCACACTGAATAATACATTGTGAACATCTACTGCATGCAGCACCTGGTTCTTACATGCCAGGTTTATGTAGGTTGTCTTCAAGGCAACCTTGAGATTTCCTTAAAGATAATTTCCTTTCAAAGACATGGCCGAGGAATTCAGCTGTGTTTTCTCTTGATAGTGATTGAAATAGAAAAAAATCCCATTGAAAGAGAAGAACATCAAAGTTGCTAGATCATTTTGAGGTTTTAAATTGGTGGTGCAAAACATTCTAATAATCCCCTCGTTTGTTCTGCCAAGGATCTTTTTTATAATGTGTAAAGAACAGCAATTTCATATTTCGTTTTCCAAGGGAGGACACAAATGCACCTCCTTCAAGAGATGAATGGCAGAATTGTTAAGAGTTAAACATTTGTAGAGACTGGGCGGTGATGCATAACGGAATAAATCTCACTGAATGTTCCTTTCAGGGGATGGTAGATCGTACAAGGGTAAAGTGGCACTGAGGATTGTTTGCTATACACCATTCAAACTGAATTGTATATAACCTGTGTGTGTGAAGAAAAATACATGACAGTTTAACATGGACTCCTCTTGTAAAGCGCTACCGGAAACAAGCCCTTTTATGTATTCATTATACTCTTTTCAATGAATTGAAATGTTATGTGTGAATAAATAAAGTTGTCTAATAGATTGGTCCTTCTGAAAAGTGTCGTAAACAGTTCTACTAAAGCCTAATGCCTGTTCTTTATGAGATAGCTATTTTTTTTTGGTTGGCTATTTTCCCTGTATTCATTCGTAATGCTAAGCTAGGATAAGCTAACCATCTTGTGGCATTAGTTATTTATAGTACAAACATAAACAATGTATTAATCCCCTAATCTAACTCTCAGTAAGAAAGTGAATTGGTGTAAAACTGCTAGTTGAAACAATGCCAAGACAAAATGTTCTTGGTTACAGCTAACTCCACACAATGGGCACTGCATGCTGAATGAGTCCTTAAACCCTGGAATGAGTTCAAATGGTAGCACTTCTGTGGTGTGATTGTTTGTGTCTTCAAAACAGAGGTTGCTAACAAGTGGCTAAATGAGACTAGGCGACTAAATGTCATCATGCTGTGCATTAGCCGCATATAGCTTAGCCGTGGTGATGGCCTACCAGTTGAATGTAGTTTGTTTATGGCCCGACGCTAAGCCTCTAGCGATTGCATTTGCGCTTCAAATATGTGGGGGTTATCCTGCTGAAGAACATGTGTCAGCAAGAACATGTGTTTGTAAAAGAGCTTATTTTCTGCAATATTCAAAAATCCCATTCCTTTTGTCAAGGAACCCCATGCAATGCTAACTTCGCAACAAGTCCTCCAACTCATACGACCAAATGGGTCGATTGTTTAAGCGCTTAATACGACCAAATATGTCGTTTGTTCAAGCGCTTAATACGACCTATAATTACGTTTTAAAGTTGTCGGCCTCTAGTGCTCCCGTTGAATGCAAACGTTACAGATGGTCGTTTATTCACAAATAACCCTCTGTACAATCCTAAATTGTAGGATAGTTTGGCCATTAAAACGCTTTATGATTAGATTTCTAGCGAGAAGTATATATTGTACTTTTAGAATCCACGTCCAGTCGTTATGAAGGATCTATAGTTTGATAGATATTACGAAGATGATTTGAGGTATGCGGCAAGCTTCCATGTAAAGTTACGGGTTGAAAACAGTATTTCCGGTCTCGACGTTTTCATAATAAAACCAATGATCAAATGATTTAACAGTGATATCTGCAGTACTCATCCACTAAAAAACATCAGTTTATCCTAGTTAATTATACGACCTTAATTGGTTTAAATTGTGTACAATGCTTTTGTGTTTTTCCCATAGGGTTTTCTCTTTCGATTCTGAGAGACACATTTCTTTTTTCAGAGGTTTTGATAGGCTAAAATCACGCCGCAATGCACGTCGGGATATGGTGTTTATGTGATATTAAATCGGAAAACATTTAAAAAAAAAAAAATAATACTTTATTCCGAGTGTTCTTGCTTTTCTCTTTGAAAGTCATCACATAACGGCATTGTAATACACGGTTCGGCTGCATTAAATATTACATATCTGCCGTAGATATGTATTTATAGAGCCCTGATCAGAAGACCTTTTGACAAACTGGAAGAGATGCCGCCAAAACTGAATACGTGACGTGGACCATAAAATATCAACAATTAAACAACATCTTCCATTTATTTTCACACAATACGTCTCCTTGCAGTATCAACACTAATTCGGCTGACTTTTATATTTGATCCAATAAGTAGATAGTCTGTATTTACACCATAACGGTGCACAGCTGATAGAAAGGGATTTTTTGTAGTTTTTAAAGATATTACTGATTTTCTGAACTACCTTTCCAACTCCTCATGCAGTTGACTGTTACAGGTCTATACAAGTTTATGGTACAATGCATAAGCTTCACATCGAGAGACTGAAACTGTATTTTCCTTTACCGTTCTGTTTTAATTTCACAATAAAGTGAATAGTCATATTATGTTTGATATTATTATGTTTTATTAACTAGACCACTGGTCTAAACCGTACCTCCTAGTGGTTAAAGCACGTTATTGAATTTAGTTGTTGAATAAGTTTAATTTGTATGAAAACATTTAAATATTAAGAGTAGCCTACATACAAAATAGGGGTAAATGATAGAAATATAGAATAGAAAATATCAAGAAGATACTGTAGTGATCTCTACAATAAAACAGTTTAGTGCAGGACGTCCAAAGATATTAACAGGTGGATGTGCAAAACAGACAAACTGATAAGGCTGAATTTTACTCAGGTGTAACGAAAGTCTGATTTAAGGGTTGTTTATATTTCTCATCATTAATCAGAATCTGCAAAGTAACACAAATAAATGTAGTAGAGTAAAAATACCAGGTTGACCTCTGAATTGTAGTGGAGTAGAACAAAGTAGTACATGCTGCTGTAACAAAAACATTTCCCAACTTGGGATCAATAAAGTATCTTATCTTAAGATGATCGATGTTGCTACTGCCATATTTGCTAAATGTGCATCTGAACCTTGACAAGTGCATGTTTCAGGCTTATCAATGAACAACAGGAGGGGTCACAGACATAAGACCAGCTGTTAAATAAAGCTCTTCTGACCTTAGCTGTCATGTGGGTATATTAATGCTGCCCATTATGGGCACAAGCAATTTTCACCCATGTATTAATTATATGTTTTAAATTTGATAACACCAATGTGTTTCGTATTCCCTAAACCTCCAGGGATGTATACAGTTTAATACTGGCAACTTCTAATTGTGGGAAATACGAAAACGTCTTATAAAACTACAATTCCCAGTAGAGACGTGCCATAGAACATATTGCGAAACACACAATAGCCAGCATGTGTAATTCTGGGGGGGAGGGCTGGGCTGGACCCGTCCAAGTCCAGTTTTGGATAGTCTGGCGTGGTTCCATTCCATTTCAAAGAGCTGTTTGACATTCGGCGTAACCTTGTCGCACTGCCACTCCAACATCCAATCACAGAGCTTGAGGGCTAATCACGGGGTTTGTAAAGCAAGGCGGATGTTGTAGTCCCAAACGATAGCTGGGGATTCTGGGTAGTGTAGTGTCTTCGGAAACTCTGTAGTGTCTAAACTCCGAAAAAACTATTTGTTTCTCCGAATCGAAGGTTAAAAACACAAAAGCATTGTACACAATTTAAACCAATCAATATTGTGTAATTAACAAGTATAAACTGATGTTTTTAAGTGGATGAGTAATGGAGATCATTTGACAGTGTGGGGAATACTTCCGGTTTTATTATGAAAACTTCGAGACCGGAAATACTGTTTTCACCCATGCTAACTTCACATGGAAGCTGCCCCATATACAGTACACGTTCTCCTGGCGAGACCTCAAATTATCTTCGTATCAAACTGTAGATCCTACACATCCACTGGACGTAGATTATAAAAGTACAATATACACTTCTCGCTAGAAATCTAATAAAAAAGCATTTTAATGGCCAAACTATTCCACAATTTAGTTTTTTCCAGAGGGTAATTTGTGAATAAACGACCCTCCGGAGCGTTTGCAATCGACAGGAGCATGTTGTTTCTTACACGACCACTAGAGGTGCTACACTTTAAAACGTGACTCTGGGTCGTATTTAGCTGCTGAACAATCGACCTATATGGTCGTTTTTTGTAGGAGGACAGGCTGTAACTTCCAGGTCGGCCTACAAAAATACGTCATCACTGCACCACCTTATGTCGAGAACTCTGTAATAATCAATTTACCAAACATCTAGCTTTGGCTTATTTAGGTTGGTGAGCAGGTCATAGTGTACAATGTTCATTACGTTAAAATGAGGGACTTATACACCCAAGTGTCAGCAGATACAGTCAAGAATTTGCAATTAGGATACATAAAACTGAATGATAATAAAGACAGAGGGAGGTCGCACATACTGTATAGAGGGATGCAGATGTAAAGTGAGAGAGAGACATAAAGAGCTCAGAGCCTGTTAGACAGCTGTGCCTCAGGCAGTAAAAGACAATGCAAGAGTTTATTAAACAGACTTTAAAAGCCTTTCCCTTCAAAAGAGGTAGGCGTGATAGATGGTGGCAGGGAGAGTGTGTGTGTGTGTGTGTGTGAGTGCACCATTGTCTGTGTGCATTTACTTTAGTTAACATCTCTTCCAAATAGAGGATGAAGGAGACGTTAACTGAAAGCATAAACTTAGTAATGAAGTGACGAGAACAGAAGCAGCAGAAATGTGTCCTCAGGTGTTGCACAGTTTCTCCATGGTAACACCTTAGCAACACTACACTGAGTTAAGACTTAATGGTTGATTAGGCTTGCCACGATAAAGGTATAAATTCAAACAATGCCATTCAAATGAAGGTGATAATGATAAAGACACTCCCCAGCTGTTGTGCTAAGCTAGTGGCCCCATGTCAGGGAATTACAAGAACACAGCCTAGGCATAAAATAGCAATGCTGTCCACATATATTTAACCATTAAATGAAGTCAAAGTTGGCAAAACAGGGAAGTCAGTCTATTTTGTAAAGGATGCTTACAATGGACAGTTTATGTGACTAAACTGGAACCTTTTTATTTTCGTATTACTGACTCTTGGCATTCACAAGGTTTAGGCCATTTGGAGCTAATTCACTTGGTTTGGTTTACCTGAAGCAAAGTACTGCATGTTTCTTGCTGCTGAGTTGTTTTTTGTTATGGTTTATTGCACTTATTGTAAGTTACTATGGATAAAAGAATCAGCTAAATGAAACATACGAAAATAAGTGGATCCAAATTGTAATAAACCAGATATATCCTTTACTGTAACTACATGAAGGATCCAGAACCACGTTCAACCATTTTACCCCAATTTGTAATGTTTTCCCTTTTACTTTGTGTTGCAATGGCAATCAGCCTTTCAAATACTTTCACTCCCCTTGGGTAAGTATCATGCATGTGACCAGCAGAGCATTCACATGTCTAAACTGCACCATGGAGCGCATTATATGATATCCAACAGTTATGCAGATTTTGCCTTTGGAGATTTCCTTGACCAGTATGAATGACTTTTTCGGACACTAAAATACACAAAATTATCTCCACTAACAAACCAGGGTTGATTTATGCTGTTAGAAATGGAGCCAGTTGATTTGCTCACAGGTACAGTACATGGGGAAAAACTATTTCTGTGTAGTTACATTTGTTTGAACTCCTGTTCCACTCAACTCTTTTCCATTTTTCTACCTGCAGGCTGCATGAGAGATGTACGCCTCAACGGCCGCTACATGCCCCTGGACAGCCAGCCGCGTGATGGGGTTTCCCAGGTCAGCGTGCAAGGCGTCTCCCTTGGATGCTCTTCTGACTCCTGCAAAAGGAACCAATGTAGCCCCCCCTTCACCTGTGTTGACTTGTGGAGAGTGCACGAATGCAGGTACATACTCACACCTCACTGAACATTGTTCCACTTACACACTCATCATGTTGGCACAAAAACATGTGTGTAAACCAACTCACTCTTCCTCAGAAGCCATTTTTCACTTTTTGACATTGCCATTCTTTTTGGGTTTAGCCACATACATGTGCATTGAACCAACCGGGCCCCGACCTGAAGAGTTGGAAGTCTTTTTTTGTTCTAAAACCGTTCAATTTCCCGGCATGAGAAGTGTTTGACCATGTGTGCATGACCCTGGGTTCACAGCGGACACAGAAGTGCTGCGCCTTGTCCAGCAGGAGCCTGACTGTTCACACCAGAATCATTTGGACGAAACAAACAAGCAGGCTTCTCGGAGTAACCGTGTAACAATCACATCAGAAACAAGTGGTAATAGGACGTTTCTAATGAACACAGTGAATGGATTTAGATATTCGAACATGTGGTCGGGGGAAATTAGATACTTAATCTTCAGGAGAACAACACAGAGATGCAAGGAAAGTGAACGATTGGAAAGAATAAGACGTGTATTTTCATATCTATCAGAATCACGTAATTCATCTCATATATGATATTTTATTTATGTGGCTTAAGAAACATAGTTAGAAGCTAGAACATGTTTTCAAAATGTAAAAAGTGTACTAAAATAACTTGTAAAAACGATGTTTGAACATAAGTGAAACCTAACCTTTTTATCGAAAAGACCAAAACACTCTGTATCACACAAAAAACCGTCAGCTGCGTGAAAGTCATGTGTTTCGCCATGTGAACTTTCCCCTTGCAGAACAAACACTTACCTTCATTGTGCTATCATAACTAAAACTCTAAAGTTTATGTTGAATTTTGTCAAAACAAATCAATAACAACAAATCTGCAATGAAAACTGGGGATGTGGGGTTTGGAAAGCTGTGGGTATTTACCAAATCTAACAAACTATGATGTTGAGGTGCATTACGCCAAGGGCTCGGATGTTTTAGATATGCAAGTCTCTCAACTTCACATCAGTGCAATAGTTGTACTGCAGTTGGGATCATGTTAGAAATTGTTGTTTTTTTCACTTCAACATCTCTTCATTTCATGTTTCTAGGTCTGAAATCCAAAAACAAATCTTGCTGTTTGGATTCCTGTTTAGCACCACAGGCTGAAATAAACAAAAATGTGATGTGACTGCCCGACAATCTCAAGCAACGAACCGGTTTGAAGGTCACACACTGTGTTTCATTTTGTTTACTTCTGAAATGGATATCTGTTATTTGAAAAACAAATGAGCAAGTCAACTCATTTAGCCTCCAAGTCATGGGCAGGGGTGTCATGTGAACTCAGATCAGCCCTGTGCACCCCCCCCCCCACCCCCCTCAGCCTGCCTGACTGGCCTCTGTACACAGCTGTTGGCGAAACAGTCTGCCGGATTTTGGGAGCAGAATTGTCAAAAATAATCTTCAAATGCACTGAATCATTTGTATGCATCACTTAAAAATATTCATGTAACATCTGAAAGCAAAAACCTCCAGGTCTTAAGAATAAAGTCAATATAGAAGTGCCTCAAACCGGCATGATGGAGTCATTCCAAGTGTTTTAAAAGGAAGCCCAGTTGTATAAAAGTCTATGAGAAAATTACTTTAATTCCAAGTTAATTAATGACCTCAGTAAACATGATGATGATTTTGTTGTCTCAATCCAAGTTTCAGGGAAGCAGAATTCTCAAAATAATTTAGAAATGCACTAAATCATTTGTTTGTATTGCTAAGAAATGTACATGTAGAACTTCCTAACTTAAATGAGCTTTCTCTCTAATGGAGTTACTCTACCTGTTGCCAGATTGATTCCGATTGCATAGAAGTCTATGAGAAATAAGACACTACTTTTCACTTGAATAAGGGTTAGGATTAGCATCTTCGTTTTTATTGTATTTCCTCAATGCTAGTTTCAATACTCCAAAACAGCATAATGCTCATGTTTCTAAATGATGGTCCAGCTTAGATTAAAATAAAAGGTAAAGCATGCTTAGATTTAGGGCATGGCTACCTTGTGAGTGACATATCAGAAACAGGGTGTTGTCTAGTTTGGTTGTTGTCATCTTTGAACATTTTCCCAGATTGTTTTTGGTTTGTGAAAGACAATTGTAGCCCTAATTGTTGCGTCAAAATGTGTCTTTAAGTATTCAATTATATTTAGCTTATTCGGTTCACTGCAACAGCCAAATATTATGCTTCAAAATGACCAGTGACTGCCTCCACTTCTTCTATACAGTCTATGATGTACAGCAGTGAAGTTTAGTTGTTACAGGCTGCAATTATTGACATGTTGCTCCAGCTTTTTGGTGAGAGGATGAAAAACAAACCAAGAATTCCTGTTTGAAGGCTTACCAAACAAAATGACAGTTTGTACTCTTTGAGGGAGGATGGCACAACAACAAAAACTTTCCTCTCTGCCTGTGTGTTTGTGAGCAGAGATATGATTGGCCAACTGGGTGGCTCTCTGGCTGACACGACACCACACTGCAGCAAAAGTTGAGCCATGATCTTTGTTGCTTCTCTGCCACTGCACTATGGCTGAGGTGTGGCAGTTATTGTCAGTCTGAACATGCCCTCAGGGAGAGTTTTGAACCTTACAAACTGCCACGTCTCCCTTTAAAAGGCAATGAATAAAGCAGTGAGCCCCATCTGCTCAGTCACCAAGCTAAATGCCTCAAATGTTGGCGGTGAAAATGTGTTTTCCCCAGCACTCTGACCCTGATGGGATTCACACTTATGCTTGATCAATGTTTAGCGTTCAACACTGTATGACTTTCTGTGCAAGAGCTTCTTTTTTTGTCAGCAAAAAATAGGAAATGTCGTGCAGACACTGAATCAAACACCAAGTGCTCTCAGCCACTCGCAATAATCTCAGCAATGTTGTCCTGCCACTGGAAATATCAGCCTCCATTCAGTGTGTGAACCAGGGCTTTTAATCTTGCCTTACCTTTTTTCTTCCTCTGATCAACTCGCAAGCATCATACCTCCACCCAGCCATGTTGTTTTTCTTTTTTACAAAGGCTCTCATTCGCGCACTTTGCCCCTCCATCTCTTGGTTTCTATGTCTCTCATTTTGCTCGCTCCTGCTCAATATTTCAGGCCATGTAGCATCGCAACCACACCAAACCACATCTGTGTATATAATGGACACACATACACACTCACAGTCTCCCTCTCCATCCCCACTCTGCTTGCTTGTTCGCCTTGTTCTCGTCCCTACTTCACCTGAACCCTGGAAGATGATTAGAGAGTAGTGCGTGTTAGCAGGAAGTCCTCCAAGCCCTAGTGTCTGATACCTGATTACTCATATGGGCCACCATTCAAATAGTCCAATAATAACAGACTGAAGTGTGGATAATCGTTCTCCACGGTGCTCAGATAAACACAAACACTGATTTGTAAATGTAACATTTGATCTAAATAAAAGCATATTGTTAGCTAGCCGGATTACAAGTTCAGTTTGGACACATCTAGCTTGTAGGAAGCAAGAGGCTATAGTAACAGTACTGGTCACTCTTTGCGGAAAAGGGGTTTATCAAACATATGTTATTGTCACTGCTGTTTGTGATTGTGTTTTTTAATTATGAAGGCTACTTCTTCTCGATGTTAATTTAAATATTCTCCACTTTTTCCCTGGGAACCTTTTTATAGGTTAAAAATAAGCTAGAGACAAAAAGAAAATGAAAAGATAGCAAACGCAGTCAGGGGTTAGTTATAAGCTAAGGCTAGCCAATGTAGCTTTATACTTTTACCTTATAGTTTATCAAATCTGCTAGTGATAGTTGTTATTGCAGCTGACTAAGTCCCTGCCTTAAAGGAGAGAGCTGTGTTTAGTTCTGTGGGGGATTGAAGACCCGGTGTTTCACAAATTACAAAACTCGACATAGCAACAGTAACTGAGGGGGGGGGGGGGGGCACGGCTAAGTGCTGCGCCTACCTTTCCAGAAGCAGCATTTTGTGTGCAAAAAGTAGTTATGACTCGTAATTGGAGGGACCTTAGCTGATCTGCAGCATATTCTGGGATGCAACAGAAAACATGATGTATAAGAGCAAAAAAGGTGAGCTAGAAGTATCTTTAATCTAATCTGATTCTAAGTATTTAGGAAAAAACCAAGGTGATCACCCTTCAGAAACGCCCACAACACTACACCTCTTGCTAATGACTGTGAGTGAGCATGCATGCTCATCTAGGTTATGATAAAACACGCATAGCACTGATTTAGTCACGGCTGATGACAGGAAATGATAAGAGACATCAGAGAAAATAGAAGCACAGTGTCCGAGTTGACTGACAGGCATTTAACACCACACAGACTCTTACCAGGCATAAGAAAAGCATGAACACTAAGCATTCGTCATGACACCGTTAATTATCTTTAAGTAATTTAGAAAGGGGAAAAGTGGTCTTAAACACGATACGTACGTTGGTAGTCTAAGTAATTCCACTTTGTTCAACTGGAAAAGCAGTAAAACCCTAAAATACATCATGTAGCTGATAGAAAGTGAAGAGGCCCTTCGTAACAGTGTGTTCTATTCTTTTGGCACTGGTTAACGTCTCCTAGCACTCACATGTTGTACAAGATGGAGATTAAAGAGCTGAGGGTGTTACATAAACAAGTAGCATTAAGCCACCAGAATGAGTAGGTTTTACAGTTCTTCATAGAGTTCTGCAGTGATGACATTATTGTTGAAGGCCGACCTGTATGTTACCATTACAAGGGGTCTACAACAAAAAGCAATGGGATTTTTCCATTGAATTTACAATACGACGCAAACATACGTTTATGAAACAAACACGTTTGGTTGAGCAGAATAATCTCCACAGATTAACACAGATGGTATGATTTGTTTAAGCTTCAATGCAACTGTCAGAGTTCAAAATGCTAACCCTAAAGTAAGGCTACAAATAAACTACATCACAATCACATGAGTTCAGGTGGCTAATGTTTGGTGTGATGATGTTTAGTATAATTATTTGTGAGCAACCACTGTTTGTATGACACATATAAGATTCAGACATAGAAAAGTGGAGTGTTTAGTGACATATCTCTTTTGTTAACCACAGACCCTATTTGAGGCATCTCACCAAAAACACGTTCAAAAAACGATGACTTTGAGACGAGGATACAGGAAATGGTCAAATGCTAACTCACTTTCCGTTTTTCAGACTCATTCTTTCACCACTGTATCCTAATGAAATCATACTTAACAAAATACAAGGTTAGTGGTGCATTTGCCTGAGGAAGGCACATGTAAGACAATCCAACGATACAGTTAATACCAGAAAAATGCTTTTGTGAAAAACGTGTTTCCTCCACTGCACGTTGTAGACCATTCATTGATTTGACATTTATTTTTGCGTGAATGTGTGGCTTAAGTATTAGCATCAGATACAACTTATTGTACAGTGCCTGCCCATTACTAAGAAAGTGACAAAGGATAAAACTAGCTATTAACCATAGAATACAGCAGATTACCCAATCTGATATTCTTGTCTATATCTATATAAATCGGTAATACTCAGTCTATGGGTTTAATAATTCTCCATATTCATTTGGACGGCACTAAAAAATAGCCTAGTGAGTCTAGTAAGGGATTTCATGATCAGACCATATTACCAGGGCTGCACATAACTGGTGCGCAGGTGCGCATGCTCACCTCCGCCAAAAAAAGAGCACCGGGTCATTTGAAAAAAGGCGCATTTGCGCACCAACATTGAGAGAGAGGGAGAAGAGAGGAGAAAGGAGATAGAAGAGAGAGAGAGAGAGAGAAAGATATTTGCGAGTTGCATATTAACTGAGGGCCGGCCCGTAGCACTGGCGTTATAGATGTTCGCCTAGGGCGCCAGATCTGTGGAGGCGCTGCGCTGACAGCTCTGGGAGGGAAACAAATTGTTTTAACCGTTGGCGCTCATCCTAATGTTCGGCCTTGATGTAACAACATTCATAATTAAGTAAATGTAACACCCTTTTCACCCCGGTTACACGTTTCATTTGCGCTGTACGATGGGCGCTGTAAGTGATGAAAATGGGGGATGTTGGCTTATCTGGCGCCCGCAGCTCACAGCCAAAGTGTGAGTGAGCGAGGGAGAGAGGGAGGGTTGTTAGGGCTGTTGTTATTAGAATCTGGTGCTATAGCTGGTCTAACGGATATAAGAAGAAGATATGTCTACAATCATGTGGAGGAGAGCTCTCTCCAGTCAGACTGAGAGGCTGATAACTACAGCTCAGTGAGGTAAAGAACTCTGAGTGTTTAGATAGTTCACTTTAGTCTAAGTTCAAACGGTTTGGTCACAATTTATGCAAACACATATTTCCAAGGCACTCCTTTATAATTATTGGGATAAACAGGTTTGAAATCATTCCAATGTATACTATAGGACAGTAACCAAAAATATCCTTTAAAACTGGAGAGATAAAAAAAAGATCCATAAATAAATAAATGTTAAGGTAAAATAAGATATGAATGAACAACACAAATAAAATAAGTTACATTCATTTGTTATTGGCTATGGTAGGTTATTGGTTATGTTCACATACTTATTTGATTACATCCACTTGTCTAAGATGACAACAGAGACTTTCGACCCAAAACCAGCTGTTGACTTGTGGATGCAAGCAGCTAATCGCAGACTCAACCAGAGAGAAAGTAGTAGGCCTACATCATCAGCTACCATGTCTGACAGAGAGGAAGACAGTGAGGAGAACAGTGATGACAGCTTGTAGGATTACTGGTCGTGCTAATGTTGTCTTGTGTTCACCTCTGCATGTGTGTTCTGTGTTCACCTCTGCATGTGTGTTTAGTGCCGTGTGTCTGGCAAATAAAGTCAAGACCCCCTCCAAAGTTACGGTTTATTTCATTTTAAGGATGAGCACCAAGCAACATCTCCAGGTGCTCCTTTGAGAACCAGGGCAAAAAAGTGATGTGCACCCCTGCATATTACACTGCAGACCTTCTGCTCACAATATATGTCACCAGTACACATAAATATCTAGTCATTATAGTAGACAGTTGGCAGTTAATACAGTAAATGAACCCTTTTGTTTCTCATCAAAATCAATGTTATAGTAATGAGATAGAATACAGTTGCCGTTTATGGTAAAGTTGAGTCAATATGTATGCGCATAAGCACATTTCCAGAGGCGAGACTCATCTGTGATGTCATCAAATGTACAGTACAGCCTTGAGCCACTCCATATACACATTGAAAGGGATCCTGAATGAATGGGCTCATAAAATGTTTATTTAAGCTGTTACACCCAAATGAGCTTTTAATTATTGTGGCGCTTTCTGAAGTGAGGCAGAAAATGTGCCCCTGTCTGCATTAAAGCATGCTTGTTACCGCCAGCGCACACTCAGCACTTTCCTCTCCCACAGTTCATTCTGCATTGAGGTGTATATCTGCGGAGTCATTGATTCAAGGAGAGTGTTTCCAATGTGGGAAATAGTCATAAATATTTAATTCGACTTCGTTTTTTACTGTATATTCATATTTTATCTTCTAATGCTGAAGTGTTTTTTTTCATTCATTGACAGTCTGTAAATGGTATTTAACGACACATTCCCTGAGGCGACTATTACATATTTATCAAATCTGTAGTAAAGCACACAAAGTGATATTAATCTACATGATGACATTCAAATTGAAATGTATGTATGATGAGTAGTGCAATGGGTTTAAAAAATGCTAATTCCTCTCAAATCGTATCCATTTTCTTTCATTTCCAACACACTTTTGGTGCTTTGAGTTAATGAGTGATTTAATGAGAAGATGTTTCAAACTCAAGCAAATGTCGTAGGTCTTTAATTATGAAAACAGTATGAATTGTTTTTGTTTTGTATGTATTTCCCCTAAAAATAAAAAAACTGCATTGAAAATTGTATTTTAGAAAAAATATGACCAGGAATCCTGGAAGTAGAAGGAAAACAAATTCACATCAATACGAAATGTAAAGGAAAAGCCCCAAATCTTTATATTTAGCAAGCGGGAACTATGTATTTAGTTTTAGGTCTACTTAATTAGTATGTTGGATAGTTAATTAAATCAAAACATCCTATTTTCAAAGATTGATCTCACACAGATAAGTTTGTGCGTTAACATTTGAATCTATGAAGTAACTAGTAACTAAAACTGTGAAATCAAAGTAACAAGTAAAAAGAACAATGTATCCCTTTGATTTGCAGTGTAGAGTAGAAGTATAAAGTCGTACAGTAAAAAAATACTCAAGTTATACAGTATTGCACCTGAAATTAAAATGTGTGCTTTAAAAATATGTATATATTGTGTAAATATATGTACTTTTGATTTTCAACATAATCTTCGACGAGTCTTAGCATTAGTTTGTATTTATTGCCTAATTCCGTAAAAGCAGGATTTCAAATCTTTTTTTCACTACTGTATATACACAGTATATTTTTTTATGTTAGCAGAACCAAATAAAGTGGTATCATCTGGATACAAAATTACATTTTGGAAACCTAACAGATACGTATAAAATATCCTATTATATACTTATTTAGATTTCCTCATTCTCTTCTCTTACTGTTGTCTCTTTCTGACCCCTCTTCCCAGATGTCCTCCTGGTCACATGATCCGTGTGAACGTGACCAGGAAGTCCTGTGTGTACACCCTGTGTGCGACCCGGCCCTGTCACCGGGGCACCTGCGTGGCTCAGTCGCCCTCCAAGTTCACCTGCCACTGCCCCGCGGGCTACAGAGGACGCCACTGTGAGACCACGCTGGCCATCTACCGCGACGACGTGGGCCTGAGCTTCAGCTCCCTCTTTGCCATCTGTATCTGCTTCATGGCCCTGCTAGGTAGCTATGTCATGTACTGCATGCTTAATGTACAGATATGAGAGATGGTTGCCCAGCAGCAGGGCTAATGTCTGAGGATGCTTGTGTTTGATTTCTGAAAGCATCTTGCCTTTAACTATGACAGTACCACAGGTGATGTCAGCTGCCAGGTTTACATGGAGATGTCTCTGCTCCACTATGAAGGCTGGCACATACAGCATATCCTGCCTGAACTGGGTTGAGGGGGAAGCAGCTGCCTCAGTTTAGTCTGAGAGGGGCCAACAGTGACAGACCCTATCCATCACTAATTAGGGCTTAGGGAGCATCTTTTGAATCTCTACTCAACAAAAGAGATTTATGAATACTAAAGTTTATACTGAGTATATAAACAACAAGTTTGCAAGTGTTGGCGTTTTGTTTGTTTGGAGGCATATCAAGTCTGACTTCCATTAACATGTCTCTTTGAACAGTATCATACAGTATAGCTTAAAGCCAGAGATGGAGTGACAATAGTTGTGTAGTCCGGCTCTTCACTATTATTATAACTACTAAACTTCTGCAGTGGCACTGTGCCTGCATTTCTCCTGACCTGTGGGAGGAACACACTGATGTCTAGTCGCCTATTGTTCAAATAGTCCACATGTTTTCTGTCTGCCTCTCTGTTTTGCTTGTTGAATATTCATACCTTTAGCTCTGTGTTCCTATTCCTTAAGGATCTTTTGTTGAGAAAGCGCCTCAGGCGCAGTCGTACACGGAGAATAGGTTTTCAGTAAGATGACACGTTCTCCTTGTTTAATTGAGGATGATACAACAAACCAGTAAAGAGCAGTTTGAAAGTGCACAGCACAAGAGAAGAAAACAGATCAGAGGAGTACAGAATGAAACAGGACACGGCACAATACCAAGAAAAAGAAGAGGGAGCTGAACATATTACAAAGCGGAGGCAGCGCACAACACAGGGGGAGAAATTAAAGCAAGAAAATACGTAGTGTGGAGAAGGATGGTGTCAATGTCTGGCTGCTGCTGGCCATGTGTGCCTGTCTCATTGGTGATTCAGAGTGTTCCTCCATCCCAGACAGACACAGTTCAAATGATGATTTTGCCCTCTCTTCTTCTTACCTTCGTTCCACGATGTCCCTCTTCAAACTTAGCCCGGGGCTCAAAGTAAATGGGACATCCGCCCTTGATCCTGTCGAGGCTCAGTTCTGTTTTCAGCGTTAATGACTTGATTTGTAGGCGAATACGGTGCTGTTTACCCAAACCTGCACACATTGAGATCAATGCTCCAGGGGCTTTGGTAGTCATTTCAATCTGTGGAGCGTTCCTCGCTCGCTCGGTCAAACATTCCTCACTCTGAAATTCAAGTAGCAGAGAGACTTTTATTTATTTTTATGCCGATATTGCTCGTACGGAATCCAAATGTTTAAATAGCAAGAACAAATGGAGGGCAGCAACTCTCCTGGTGCTGAAGAAACATTGGATGTTATGATGAGTGAAGATTCAAGACCAAACCCACTCCAAAGCAGAACTCATATTTCATCATTCTCTTTGATTTTTCTTTTCTACCCAGTATAAGGTTGGCTTTACTGTAGAAAAGAGAGAGGATTGAAACAGTTGGGTTTTAGGATTTTTTGAAATGATCACAGCAATTCTACTGAAGAGAGAAAATACACACAGACATTCATGGTTTCCAGAGGATGACCCCCTGAATTTTTGAAGCGCCACCATGAGGTTGACTGCTCAAGTTTACGACCCCTGCCTCCTTTTATGACATCACACATTCCTCACCAGTTGTAAGGAACCTCATTTGGAATGCAAAATGAAATGCACTTTAAATGAAGGGCTACTATGTTTTAAGAATAGGAAGTTTTGTTTTAACATTGAAGTATAAAGGGAATGAGGGTTTTTCGTGTTGTCAAACCTTCCCCCCCACCTCTCACCTTCCCAATATCCACACTGACATGCATTGATTGTATTTGTGTCACTCAGTTACATGAATATGTACATATTCATATATAGACATGTATATAAATATATGTACATTGTTTGGAACACAGGTTGGCATATATTTTGTGTGTATTTGTTTGATTCTTTTTTTTTTACGTGATCAGGTATTATTCAGTGGTTGATATCAAGACTTCGGTACAGGAAATGAATAAGCATTTTATCGCTTCCAGTTCCCTCATCATGAAGTCAATATGGTTTTGGTTTCTGGTTAGAAAGTCTGTTGTATAAGCTGAAGAGATGTTTCCCCTCACTCATGAATGTCAAAAGCTTAAATGTGGCATAAAAACAGTGGTTGTTAGAAAGTGACTAAACCTTTCAACATCATCAACCCGAACATTAACCACCTTTAGCTTAGCAGTGGTAATGCGCAGTCGTGAGATGATGTTGTACTACATTGATAGCTTAAAATAATAAAAACTGCTTCAATATTCCTGGGGCTTTTTTGAAAAGGTACATTATTCTTTTAAAACTATATTAATAGGGTTGACCTTCAAATATGAGCCACTGATTCTATCTGGTCACACATCGTCTGTTCTCCTTTGTCAATTGTTGCATTCATTGTACCCTTCCTTTAATTTCCTCATTCATCGTTTTTATTTCTGTTTAAAAGTTTAGTTTTGTAGTTATTAGTTCAATAAATGTCTCATTTATAACAAACGTCATCCTGTGATTTGTGTGTATATGAAATATTAGATAAATCTACGCTCATATTTTTATTTGACTGAGAAACATATTAACATTGTCATTTTGACCATACTGCTGTTAGCATTTAGCTCAAAGCATAGCCAAAGTAGAGCCCTACAGAGCCTGATAGCTATAGATTATGCCTGTTAAGAATTGATGACAAGACGTTATACAGTGGGGCAAAAAAGTATTTAGTCAGCCACCAATTGTGCAAGTTCTCCCACTTAAAAAGATGAGAGAGGCCTGTAATTTCATCCTAGGTACACTTCAACTATGAGAGACAGAATGGGGGGAAAGAATCCAGGAAATCACATTGTAGGATTTGTAATGAATTAATTGGTAAATTCCTCTGTAAAATAAGTATTTGGTCACCTACAAACAAACAAGATTTCTGGCTCTCACAGACCTGTAACTTCTTCTTTAGGAGCCTCCTCTGTCCTCCACTTGTTAACTGTATTAATGGCACCTGTTTGAACTCGTTATCAGTATAAAAGACACCTGTCCACAACCTCAAACAGTCACACTCCAAACTCCACTATGGCCAAGACCAAAGAGCTGTCAAAGGACACCAGAAACAAAATTGTAGTCCTGCACCAGGCTGGGAAGACTGAATCTGCAATAGGTAAGCAGCTTGGTGTGAAGAAATCAACTGTGGGAGCAATTATTAGAAAATGGAAGACATACAAGACCACTGATAATCTCCATCGATCTGGGGCTCCACGCAAGATCTCACCTGTGGGGTCAAAATGATCACAAGAACGGTGAGCAAAAATCCCAGAACCACACGGGGGGACCTAGTCATTGACCTGCAGAGAGCTGGGACCAAAGTAACAAAGGCTACCATCAGTAACACACTACGCCGCCAGGGACTCAAATCCTGCAGTGCTAGACGTGTCCCCCTGCTTAAGCCAGTACATGTCCAGGCCCGTCTGAAGTTTGCTAGAGAGCATTTAGATGATCCAGAAGAGGATTGGGAGAATGTCATATGGTCAGATGAAACCAAAATGGATCTTTTTGGTAAAAACTCAACTAGACGTGTTTGGAGGAGAAAGAATGCTGAGTTGCATCCAAAGAACAACATACCTACTGTGAAACATGGGGGTGGAAACATCATGCTTTGGGGCTGTTTTTCTGCAAAGGGACCAGGACGACTGATCCGTGTAAAGGAAAGAATCAATGGGGCCATGTATCGTGAGATTTTGAGTGACAACCTCCTTCCATCAGCAAGGGCATTGAAGATGAAACGTGGCTGGGTCTTTCAGCATGACAATGATCCCAAACACACCGTCCGGGCAACGAAGGAGTGGCTTCGTAATAAGCATTTCAAGGTCCTGGAGTGGCCTAGCCAGTCTCCGGATCTCAACCCCATAGAACATCTTTGGAGGGAGTTGAAAGTCCATGTTGCCCAGCGACAGCCCCAAAACATCACTGCTCTAGAGGAGATCTGCATGGAGGAATGGGCCAAAATACCAGCAACAGTGTGTGAAAACCTTGTGAAGACTTACAGAAAACGTTTGACCTCTGTCATTGCCAACAAAGGGTATATAACAAAGTATTGAGATTAACTTTTGTTATTGACCAAATACTTATTTTCCACCATAATTTGCAAATAAATTCTTTAAAAATCAGACAATGTGATTTTCTGGATTTCTTTTCTCATTTTGTCTCTCATAGTTGAGGTATACATAGGATGAAAATGACAGGCCTCTCTCATCTTTTTAAGTGGGAGAACTTGCACAATTGGTGGAAATATATCAAAACAGTGGAAATATATCTCCAGTTTGGAAAAAACTGTTTTTTTATCGTCCATGCAAGGGACCGCTCAATCTTCTAACATCCATGAGAGCAAATCATTAGAATGTAAAAGTGTAGAGAATTCTAATGTGAGTCATGGAATTTCTTACATTTCGTTGTTAATGATCTTACCGATCAGTTTACCTAGTGAAAAATCCACATGCATTAGTCATGCTCTCCATTTGGCTACTGAGAACGTTTTGTTTCCGCAACATTTTCATGAGAGTAACTGTGAAGTCAAAAAGTCATTCAGATACTGGTTTTAGGACGGTAAAAATATGTATGAAAACTAAAGTAGTTATGGTTAACTTGTCATAATATTTACTGTGGTGTTTCTGTGAGGTCTTCAGCCGTCGTACGGACTCAGAGCGCACAGATTAAAGGAGGATATCAGATGATGGTCACATACTGAATATATCCCCACAATCTCCTCTCCCAGATGAGCTAAAGAGTCGGGGATTGCTGCATTGATTCTATCACAACAAACTCCTTCAAGGTGACGATGCTTCCAAGGTTATCTCTGCACATTGTTGAGG